TTTGGAATGATTATAAATATGATAAAAATATGGAACACTTCACGAATTTGCATGTCATCCTTGTGTAGAGGCCATGCTAATCTTCTCTGTATCCTTCCAATTTTAGCATATGTGCTGCTGAAGCGAGCACAACGCTATAGACTTTATAGACAAAAACAAGTTCTTGTTCGCTGATCAGTAAATCTCATATATGCTGATTTATGGGCAAATATATTAGTGAGGTAAAGTCAGAAGTACAAGGTTGCTGAGTTGACCAGAGGATTTAGTTGGATTAATTTTGTAGTTATCATAAACCAAACTCTCCTGATAAACCTACATCCTCCAGAAGGACACAGTAAAACATTCTGATTTTTGTTTACTAAGCCACTTTTACTGATCCATCCCCACTATGATTGAAGCATTATCTTCTATTTGGATTTGCTATTCTCGTTTCGTGAACTATCTACTTTGTAAGGTGATTTTGCATAGATATAACCTCTTCCAACTAGTTGTATTATAAAATAAAACATACAACTGAAATGCAATGTACAAACCAGATGAATTCCTGTTTCAAAAAAATGCATATTAAAACTACATGTATTTCAAATTTCTTCTCTATCAAAAAAACTCATGCTAACTTGTGATAACATGTCTGAACAAGATCCAGTTTGAGGCACTACGAAGGATAATACATCAGTTTGAAAACAGTTCAATCAGAGCAACATGAAGTTTATAAATTGAAGCAAAAACAAACATTAAATTTATGGTGAAGCCTGTGTGGAAGAACGGTGAAATCACTTTTGCTTTGGAAGAATGGTGAAATCATTGATGACGTTTTATGAAAAGTTTATGGGGACAATGCCTCATATGATTTGGCTGTGTCCCCAACCAAATCTCATGTTGAACTGTAGTTCTCATAATCCCCACGTGTCATGATAGGGACCCTGTGGGTGGTAATGGAATCATGGGGGCAGTTACTTCCACACTGTTCTCATGATAGTGAGTGCTCATGAGATCTGATAGTTTTATAAGGGGTATTGCCTCTTCTTTGCTCTGCACTTCTCCTTGCTGTCACCATGTGAAGAAGGATGTGTTTGCTTCCCCTTCCACCATGATTGTAAGTTTCCTGAGGCCTTCTTAGCCCTGCTGAACTGTGAGTCAATTAAACCTCTTTCCTTTATAAATAACCTAGTCCTGGGTATGTCTTTATTAGCAGCATGAGAACAGTAAATTGGTACTACAGACAGCAGGACACTGCTGTAAAGATACCCAAAAAATGCAGAAGGGAATTTGGAACTGGGTAACAAGCAGTGGTTGGAACAGTTTGGAGGGCTCAGAAGACAGGAAGATGTGGGAAACTTTGGAACTTCCTAGAGACTTGTTGAATGGCTTTGACCAACCCACTGATAGTGATATGGACAAAGAAGTCCAGGATAACATGGTCTCAGATGGACATGAGGACCCTGTTGGAAACCAGAATAAAGATGACTCTTGCTATGTTTTAGCATACTGATCTCATGCTTTTAGTAAAGATATATAACCAGGAGTGGGTTATTTATAAGGAAAGATGTTTAATTGACTCACAGTTCAGCAGGGCTGAGGAGGCCTCAGGATCATGGAGGCAGAAAACTAACAGATATTCAGAACTTGAACTCAACACCTGACCTAATGGGCCTAATAAATACCTACAGAACTCTCCACCTCAAAACAACAAAATATACATTATTCTCATCTGCACATCCACATATGGTAAAATTTACCTCTTGATTGGACATAAAGTACTGATGTTTAAAAAACGAACACCATACCATGCCCGCTGTCAGACCACAGTATAATACTACTAATAGTATTGATTTATATGCCATAGAATTATATTTGCATTCAAACAAATGCAAAACTATACAATTACATGGAAATTAAACAATCTGCTTGTGAATGACTTCTGGGTAAATAAAAAAATTAAGGCATAAATCAAAAATTCTTTGAAACTAATGAGAACAAATATACAACATACCAGAATATCTGGGACACAGCTAACACATTGTAGGAGGGAAGTTTATAACACTAAATATCTACATCAAAAAGTTCATAAGATCTCAAATTAATAACTTAATATTACAACTAAAGGAACTAGAGAAACAAGAGGAAATCAACCCCAAAGCTAGCAGAAGAAAAGAAATAACCAAAATCAGAGCTAAACTGAAGGAAACTGGGATGTGAAAAAAATATATACAAAAGGCCAATGAATCCACAAATTAGTTCTTTGAAAGAATTAATGAGAAAGATAGACCATTAGCTAGACTAATAAAGAAAAAAAGAAAATCCAAAGGAACACAATCAGAAATGATGAAGCATATGTTACCACTGACCTCAAAGAAATACAAAAACCCCTCGGGGTGTACCACGAATACCTCTATGCACACGAACTAGAAAACCTAGAAGAAATCAATAAACTTCTGGAAATATACCACCTCCCAAGATTAAACCAGGATGAATGAAACCCTGAACAGACCAATAACAAGCTCTGAAATTGAATCAATAATAAGTCTGCCAATCAGGAAAGCCCTAGACCAGACAGATTTATGGCCAAATATTATCAGATGTATAAAGAGCTGGAACCATACCTACTGAAAGTATTCCAAAAGTTTGAGGAGGAAAGACTCCTCTATAACTCATTCTGTGAGGACAGAATCATACTGTTACCAAATCTTGCAGAGACATGATGAAAAAAGAAAACTTCAGGCAATAGAAACTAAATAGAAAAGAGAAAACTTGATGAACATAGATGCAAAAATCTTCAACAAGATACTAGCAATCCGTATCTAGCAGTACATAAAAAAGCTGATCTACCACAATCAAGTAGGCTTTATCCCTGGGATGTAATGTGGCTTCCACATATGCAAATCAGTAAATATGATTAATGATGTAAAAATAACTGAAAACAAAAACCACATGATTATCTCAATAAGTGCAGAAAAGTTTTTGATAAAATTCAACATTCCATCATGTTAAAAATTTTCAATAAACTAGGTACTGAAGGAAAATACCTGAAATAATAAGGGCCACCTATAACAACCCCACAGCCGATATTATACTGAATGAACAAAACCTGGAAATATTCTCCTAAAAATCAGAACAAGACAAAGATACCTTCTGTCACTACTCCTATTTGATATAGTGCTGAAAGTCCTAGCCAGAACAATCAGGCAAGAGAAAAAAAATAAAAGGCATCCAAATAGGAATGGAGGAAATCAAACTATCCCTGTTTTAGACGATATGATTCTGCACCTAGAAAAATCCACAGGTTCTGTGCAAAAGCTCTGAGATCTGATAAACCACTTCCATGAAGTATCAGGATACAAAATCAATGTACAAAAATCAGTTGCATTCCTATATACCAACAACATCTACACTGACAGCAAAATCAAGAATGTATTCTGAATCACTATAGTCACAAAAAGAAAAAAATACCTAGGAATACAGCTAACCAGGAAGAGGAATAAATCTCTACAATGAGAAATACAAAACACTGCACAAAAAATCAAAGATGATACAAACAAATCAAAAAACATTCCATGCTCATGGATAGGAAGAATCAGTATTTTTTAAATGGCCACACTGACCAAAGCAACTGCAGATTCAAATTCCTATCAAATTAACAATGAAATGATTCAAAGAATTTGAAAAAAATTCTTTTAAAATTCATATGGAACCAAAAAAAAAAAAAAAAAAAAAAGCCTGAATAGCCAAGGCAATCCTAAGCAAAAAAGAAAAGCAGGAGGCATCATATTACCTGGCTTCAAACTATAGAACAAGGCTACAGTAACCAAAACAGCGTGGTACTTGTGCAAAAACAGACACATAGACTAATGAAACAGAATAGAGAGGCCAGAAATAATGTCTCACACTTACAACCATCTGATTTTTGACAGTCAACAAAAACAATCAATGGGGAAAAGGCCTCTCTTGTCAATGAGTGGTACTGGGATAACTGATTAGCTATATGTAGAATATTGAAACTGGACATCTTCCTCACACCATAACCCAGATTCAATTTAAGATGGATTAAAGACTTAAATGTCCAACTTAAAATTATAAAAACCCTGTAAGATAAGACAGACACATAGCCAATAAGCATATTTTTAAAATGGTCTACATCAGTAATCTTTAGAGAAATGCAAACCAAAACCACAAAACCTTCTCATACTAGTCAGAATGGCTATCAATAAAAAGTAAAAAAATAACAGATACTAGTGAAGTTGTGGGGAAAAAGTGAACACTTATACACTGCTGGTGGGAAATTAAATTTGTTCAGCATCTGTGGAAACCAGTTTAGTAATTTCTCAAAGAATTCAAAGCAGAATTATCATTCTACCCAGCAATTCTATTATTCAATATATGTCCAAAGAAATATAAATCATTCTACCATAAAGAGACATGCACATGCATGTTCGTCATAGCACTATTCATAATAAAAAAGACATGGGATCAAACTAAATGCCTATCAGCTGTAGACTGGATAAAGAAAATATGATGCATATACACCATGAAATACAACACAGCCATAAAAAAGAATAAGATGATAACCTTTGTAGCAGTATGGATAGAGCTGGAGACCGTTATCCTAAGCCAACTAGCACAGGAACAGAAAGCCAAATATCACATGTTCTTACTTATAAATGGGAGCTAAAATCTGAGTAGTACTTGAGGGTAAAGGGAGGGAGGTGGGTGAGGACCAAAAAACTACCTGTTGGGTACTTACTATCTGGGTAGCAAAATAATCTGTGAATCAAACCCCTGTGACATGCAATTTACCTATATTAACAAACCTGCCCATTTACCCCGGAACCTTAAATGAAAGTTAATAAAAAATCTAGGTCATGTACAGAATCTTGGCTTTATATATATATATATGAGAGGGCATTCCATAGTGGGAGATGAGCTCTGACTCATTATGTAGAATAATTGCCAAAGCAGAGGACAAGAATTGAGCATTTTAAATAATAAAAAAAGTTAATTACCTTGTTTTATAGGCACTTCAAATTCATCATGAACCTGATTTGAACTTCTCATCTTTCCCTCAAATCGTGTGTTCTCCTAGGCAGAATTATAGAAGCATTAAATTTATACTTTCCTGCACCACTCCCAGTTACATTCCAAGTGTATCTTGAATCTTTCTACACCTCTCCAGATCCACTACTATCATTTGAATCAACATTTCTTTTCCTAGAATATCCCAAATGGTCTCTCAGTTTTATTGAGACAGAGTTTACATGAAATACTATTTAATCTTTTCAAGGAACAATTCAATGATTTTTGGTATTTTCACAGAGCTGTGCAACCATCATAACAGTCCATTTTAGAACATGCTCATCACCCCCAAAAAGAAACCTTTTGTCCATTAACAATCATTCCTCATTTCCCCCAATGCACCTAGTTCTAAGTAACCACTGATCTACTTTGTCTCAGTAGAGTTACCTATTATGGACATTTTGAATCATTGGTATCATACAGTATGGATCCTTAGGGACTTGCTTCTTTCACTTGGCTTAATGGTTTAAATGCTTGTGCATGTTGCAGCATCTATCATTACTTCATTCATTTTCATTGCTAAATAACATTATGCCATATGAATCTACCATATTTAATGTATCCAATTATCAGTTAATGGGCATTTGGGTTGTTTCTGGTTTTTGCTATTATAAATAATGCTGCTATGAACATTCAGGTATAAGTTTTTGTGTGAACATATGTTTCAGTTCTCCTGGAGTGTAAATGCTGGGTCATGTGCTAACCGCGTGTATAAGATTTCATGGGCCGGGCGCGGTGGCTCACGCCTGTAATCCCAGCACTTTGGGAGGCCGAGGCGGGTGGATCACGAGGTCAAGAGATGGAGACCATCCTGGTCAACATGGTGAAACCCCATCTCTAGTAAAAATACAAAAAAATTAGCTGGGCATGGTGGCGCGTGCCTGTAATCCCAGCTACTCAGGAGGCTGAGGCAGGAGAATTGCCTGAACCCAGGAGGCGGAGGTTGCGATGAGCCGAGATCGCGCCATTGTACTCCAGCCTGGGTAACAAGAGTGAAACTCCATCTCAAAAAAAAAAAAAAAAAAAAAAAAAAAGATTTTATGAATTGCTAAACTGTTTTCCAAAGTGGCTGCTCCATTTTACACTTCTGCCAGCAGTGTATGAGTGTTCAAAATTTATCCACATCTTCACTGACAGTTGCTATTTGCTAACCTTGTTTTATTATAGTCATCCTATCAGGTATAAAAGTAGCATCTCATTGTTTTGCTTCACATTTATTTATGACTGATGACATTGTACATCTTTTGTGTGTTTATTGGTCAACTGTAGATTTTGTTTGGATAACGTGTAAGCAAATCCTTGTCCCATTTTTAAATTGGTTTGTTTGTCTTTATATTATTGAGTTGTAGGTGTTCTTTATATATTCTACCAACAAGTCTCTTATCAGATTTATAATTTGCACAAATTTTGTCCCAAACTGTAGGTTGTCTTTTCACATTTTTGATACTTTGAAGCACATTTTTAAATAAAGCCCAATTTATGTTTTTATTTGTTTTGTTTTTGTTACTTATGTTTTTGTCATGATATGTAAGAAACTATTGTCTAACCCAAGGTCACAAAGTAATGCCTATTATCCTCAAAGAGTTTCATACTTATAGCTCTTGAATTTAGGGCTTTGCTCCATTTTGAGTCAATTTTTTGGATGGCACGATGTAGAAATCCATTCATTGTTTTGCATGAATGCTAACATTACCACTATTTATTGCAAAGACTTTCCTTTCCCCATGGAATTGTCCTGGAACACTTGCCAAAACATCAACTGAATGTGTGTGTGTGTGTGTGTATATATATATATATATATATATATATATATATATATATATATATATATTTGTTTATAGAATTTCAACCCTAGTCAATTAATTTATGTCTATTCTTATGCCTGTATGTCTTGATTATTGTAGCTTTGCAGAACATTTTAAAATAAGCGTACGTAAGATTTCTAATTTTGTTCTTTTTAAAGATCATTCTGGCTATTCTGGGTTCCTTGCATTTATGTAAAAATTTTAGGATCAGCTTGTCTATTTCTAGAAAGATAAACAAAGCACCAGCTGAGATTTCGATAGGGGAGCATTTGATTTATCTTTGGAGAGTAGTCTTCCCTTATCTTTATTAGGGCTACCATAATAAATACCCAAAAACTGAGAGACTTAGAAACCACAGAAATGTATTCTCACAGTCCTAAATGAGACAAGTCCAAAATCAAGGTGTAAAATGGGCTATACTTTCACTGCTAGTTTCTAAATGATTCATGAGAATGTTTGGAGTTTCCGGGCTTGCAGCTGCATCCCTCCAATCTTTCAATCTCTGCCTCCACTGTCACATGGCAATCATGTGTGTGTCTGTGTGTCTGTGTCATGTGGTGTTCCCCTCTTTATGTGTGTATGTATCCGTGTCTCTTCTACTCTTATTCATAAGAACACCAGATATAGTGAATTAAGGGCTCATCCTCTTTCAGCAGGATCTCGTGTTAACTTACATTTTAATTATATTTTCAAAGACCCTAGTTCCATATATGGTCACATGCGCAGGTTCCAGAAATAGAATTTCAATATATCATTTTTGGCATTCACAAATCAACCCTTGACACTTCCCATCATACTGGATTTTTAAATTAATAATATATAGAAATAAAATTAATTTTCCATCATGATCTTCAGTCCTGCATCCTTACTGAATATGTATAATAGTTCCAATGTTTTTTAGTGGATTTCTTTATGGTTTTCTATGTACAAGATCATGTGATCTGCTAATATAGTTTTACCTCCTCCTTTCTTATCTATGTGTTTTATTTTCTTTTCTTTCCTAATTGTCCTGAATAGGACCTCTAGTACAACGTGGAATAGAAGTGACAAGAATATATATTCTTGTCTTGCTCCTGATCTTAGGGGGAAGATTTTAGTCTTTCATCATTGGGTCTGATGTTGGCTGGATGTTGTAAATGCTTATTATGATATTGAGTCAGTTCCTGTCTATTCCTAGTTTTTTGACTGTTTCTCTTTTTTTTTTTTTTTTTTTTTTTTTTAAGGAGATAGAGCCTTTAAGGAGGTAATCAAGGTTAAATGACAAAAGGGTGGGGCTGTAAACCCATAGTATTGGTGTCCTTCTAAAGGGAAGAGACAGTAGAAATCTCTCTCACTGTCTGTTTGTGCACACAGAAAAAGCCATGTGAGAATACAGTGAAAAGGTGGCCAACTACAAGCTAGGAGGAGAGCATTCACCAGAAACTGAATTTGCTGGTACCTTGATCATGGACTTTTAGCTTTCAGAACTGTGAGAAAATAATTGTCTGTTTTTAACCTTACCAGTCCGTGGTATTTATGTCATGTCAGCCCGAGTGAACTAAAACATATGTGTATTGCATTAGTTAATGCTTAGATTTTAAAACATCTTTGCATTCCTGTAATAAATACCACTTGGTCATTGCAATTGATTTTTTTTTAATACATTGCTGGATTCAGTTGGCTGGTATGTTATGAGAATTTTGTACCTCTATTTATACGGGTAGCTTGATCTTTAGTTTTCTTTCTTGTAATTTCTTTGTGTGGGTTTGTTAGCAAAGTAATACTAACCTCATAGAATAATTTGGAATGTGTTCATCTTTTACTTTTTGGAAGAGTTTGTGAAGGACTGCTGTTAATTTTTTTTTTTTTTTTGAGACGGAGTTTCACTGTTGTTACCCAGGCTGGAGTGCAATAGCAGGATCTTGGCTCACCACAACCTCCGCCTCCTGGGTTCAGGCAATTCTCCTGCCTCAGCCTCCTGAGTAGCTGGGATTACAGGCACGCGCCACCGTGCCCAGCTAATTTTTTGTATTTTTAGTCGAGACGGGGTTTCACCATGTTGACCAGGATGGTCTCGATCTCTTGACCTCGTGATCCACCTGCCTCGACCTCCCAAAGTGCTGGGATTTCAGGCTTAAGCCACCGCGCCCAGCCTGTTAATTCTTTAAAGGTTTGGAACAGTTCACTCCTGAAGAATCTGGAATTAGAATTTTCTTTGTGGGAAGGATTTTGATTATTTATTCAGTCTCTTGTTGTAGGTCTATTCTGATTTTATTTCTTCTCCAGTCAGTTTTGAGAGTTTGTATATTTCTTTAAATTCTGTCCCATTTGATCTGAATTATCTAATTTGTTGATTGCTCATGGTACAGCAGTTCTGCCCTTATTTGTCATTTCACTTTCCATAGTTCCAGTTACCTGCAGTAAATTGGAATCCAAAAATATTAAATAGAAAATACCAGAAATAATTTAGAAGTTTTAAATTGCACATCATTCTAAATGGTGCGATAAAATATCTTGTCATCCTGCTTCACCTTTTTTGTTGTTGTTAATAGAGACAGGGTCTCCCTGGAGTGCAGTAGTGCAATCATAGCTCTGCAATCACTGCAGCAGTGCAATCATAGCTCTGCAATCACTGCAGCCTTGAATAACTGGGCTCAAGTGATCCTCCAACCTTAACATCCCCAATAGCTGGGACTACAAATATGCATCATCACACCTAGTCGATCCTGCCTTATCTTGCCCAAGACATAAATCATCTCCTGTGTTGCATAGTATACCCACTAGTCAATTCGGAGGTGTCTTGGTTATCGAATCATCCTGACATCGAACCATTGATATTGTCATGGCTTGGTGATCTGAGATCACCCAAAGCACATGGTCCTTCTGACATATTATCAGAGGATCAGTTATTAGCCTAACACTATGCCACAATACTGAAGTCATTCACCTCATTTTCTCTCAGTGGGTAGGCATCTCATCATCTTGCATTATCATGAGAAAAAGGCAAGTACAATACAATAAGATATTTTGAGAGACTATATTTGCATATATTTGTTAGAGTATATTTCTATAATTATTCTATTTTTATTAGTTATTGTTAATCTCTTGCTGAGCCTAATTGATAAATAATTGATAAATCTATCACAGGTATGTATGGTAAGGAGAAAATCCAGTCTATACAGCTTTCAATATTATCTACGGTCTCAAGCATCCACTTGGGATTTTGACACATATCTCCCACAGATAAGTTGTTACTACTACATTTCTTTACATCCTTTTAATTTCAGCAGTAATGTCCTCTCCATTCCTGATGTTATTAACATAATTCTTCTCTCTCTCTCTTTCTCTCTCTCTCTTTCTCACATCAGTCTAGTAAAAGGTTCCTAAATTTCATTGGTCTTTTTCAAACAACCAACTTGTTGTGGGGGAGACCTCATAAGTGCTGCAGCAGGAGTCAGAAGTCTCAGTCTTGTCCTCTGCTAACTTTTGAGTTTTTTTTTTTAATCTTGCTCCTCTAGCTCAAAAATTTTGATGATAGGGGGTCGATTTTATATCTCTACTCACTTCTCATATGGGCATTATTGCTATAAATTTCTCTCTAGACACTGCTTTAAATGTGTCCCAAACTCTAAAGCTAGCAGAAGACAAGAAATAACTAAGATCAGAGCAGAACTGAAGGAGAAAAGACACAAAAAAACCTTCAAAACATCAATAAATCCAGGAACTGGTTTTTTGAAAAGACCAACAAAATAGACAGACCACTAGCCAGATTAATAAAAAAGAGAGAAGAATCAAACAGATGCAATAAAAAATGATAAAGGGGCCTCACCACAAATTCCACAGAAATACAAACTATCATCAGAGATTTCTACAAACAACTCTATGCACATAAACCAGTAAACCTGGAAGAAATGGATAAATTCCTGGACACTTGCACCCTCCCAAGACTAAACCAGGAAGAAACTGAAACCCTGAATAGACCAATAACAAGGGCTGAACTTGAGGCAGGAATTAATAGCCTATCAACCAAAAAATGTCCAGGACCAGACAGGTTCACAGCCGAATTCTACCAGGTGTACAAAGAGGAGCCAGTACCATTCCTTCTGAAACTATTCCAAACAATTCAAAAAGAGGGAATCCTTCCCAAATCATTTTATGAGACCAACATCATCCTGATACCAAAACCCAGAAGAGACTCAACAACAAAAAAAGGAAACTTCACGCCAACATCCATGATGAACATAAATGCAAAAATCTTCAATAAAATACTGGCAAACCCACTGCAAAAGCATATCAAAAAGTTTATCCATCATGATCAAGTAGGCTTCATCCTGGGGATGCAAGGCTGGTTCAACATATGCAAGTTTATAAATGTAATTCACCACATAACCAGAACCAAAGACAAAAACCACATTATTATCTCAATAGATGCAGAGAAGTCCTTCAACAAAATTCAACAGTCCTTTATGCTAAAAACTCTCAATAAACTAGATAATGATGGAACACATATAAAAATAATAAAAGTTATTTACAACAAACCCACAGACAATGTCATCCTGAATGGGCAAAAACTGGAAGTATTTCCTTTGAAATCTGGCACTAGAGAAGGATGCCCTCTCTCACCACTCCTATTCAATATAGTATTGGAAGTTCTAGCCAGAGCAATCGGGCAAGAAAAAGAAATAAAGTGTATTCAATTAGGAAAGGAGGAAGTCAAATTGTCTCTGTTTGCAGACATGACTGTATATTTAGAAGACTGCATCATCTCAGTCCAAAATCTCCTTAAACTGATAAGCAACTTCAGCAAAGTCTCAGGATACAAAATCAATGTGCAGAAATATCAAGCATACCTATACACCAATAACAGAACAACCGAGAGCCAAATCAAGAGTGAACTCCCATTCACAATCACTACAAAGAGAATAAAATAGGAATACAACTAACAAAGGATGTAAAGGACCTCTTCAAGGAGAGCTACAAACCACTGCTCAAGGAAATAAGAGAGGACGCAAACTGATGGTAAAACATTCCATGTTCATGGTTAGGAAGAATCAATATTGCTAAAATGGCCATACTGCCCAAAGTAATTTATAGATTCAATGCTATCCCCAGCGAGTTACCAATGACCTTCCTCACAGAACTGCAAAAAATCACCTTAAACTTCATATGGAACCAAAAAAGAGCCCACATAGCCAAGAAGACAATCCTAAGCAAAAAGAATAAAGCTGGAGGCATCATGCTACCTGACTTCAAACATGGTACTGGTACCAAAACAGAGATATAGACCAATGGAATAGAACAGAGGTCTCAGAGGCAATGCCACACATCTACAACCATCTGATCTTTGATAAACCTAACAAAAGCAATGGGGAAAGGATCCCCTGTTTAATAAATGGTGTTGGAAAAACTGGCTAGGCACCTTCAGGGAGCAGAAACTAGACCCCTTCCTGACACTATATACTAAAATTAACTCCAGATGGATTAAAGATTTAAACATAAGACCTAACACCATAAAAACCCTAGAAGAAAACCCAGGCAAAACCATTCAGGACATAGGTATAGGCAAGGACTTCATGACTAAAACACCAAAAGCAATGGCAACAAGAGCCAAAATAGACAAATGGGATCTAATTAAACTCCAGAGCTTCTGTACAACAAAAGAAACAATCAGTAGAGTGAACCAGCAACCAACAGAATGGGAAAAAATGTTTGCAATCCACCCATCTGACAAAGGGCTAATATCCATAATCTATGAAGAACTAAAACAGATTTACAAGAAAAGAAACAAACTCGTTCAAAAGAGGGCCAAGGAGAAGAAATCACAAGGGGAATCAGAAAATACTTTAAGATAAATTAAAATAAATACACAACACACCAAAACTTAGTATGCAGCTAAAAACAGGCATACAGCTTAGTGGGAAATGTGTAAGTGTAAAATACTCTACTTTTTAAAAGTTCTTAAATTGATAGACCAAGATTCCATCTTGAGATACTAAAAGAAGAGTAATAATTGCTAATTCCAGCCTCAAACTCCTGGGCTCAAGCAATCCTTTTGCTTCAGTCTCCTGAGTAGCTGGGACTACCGGTATACACCACCGTGCCCAACAAATTCTTTTTGTTTTTTGTAGAAAATGGGGACTTGCTATTCCAGAGGCTTTTCTGAAACTCTTGGTCTTAATCCATCACCTTGCCTTGGCCTCTCAAAGGGCTAGAGGAGTGACCACACCTGGCCTCACAGTATATTTTTAAGTGATTTCCTTATTGGTTTCTCTAAAGCTCACCATATTAACACAGCTTATCAGAATCTACTTCAAATTTATACTAACTTAAATTCAGTGAGATACAGAAATGTAACTTCTACATAGCTCACTTCCCTCTTTCCTCTTTTGGTGACATTATTGTTACATACGTAAACATCTATGCATGTTATAAGACCAAAAACAAAATAAATTAATATAATTTTACTTTATATAATTTTATATTTACTAAGGGGACTTAGGGATAAAAGCAAAACAAGTATAGAGTTTGTTATATTAATCTTCTTACTTACCATTTTAGGTTTGCTTTTCTCCCCCGTGGATTCAAGTTACAATCTGGCATCATTTCACTATTCCACAGCAGCTTTGCTCCTACCCACTTCCTCTGTTTTTATTGTCAAACAAATTACATATTTTTTGTTACAGAATGAATATAATTATGCATATATATTTTATGCAAGTTCTTTACAATAATTTAAGAAAAGCAGCAGCACTATGCACATATACTGTCTTTTCTAATTACATAATTATCTTTACCAGTGTTTTTGGTTTTATGTGTGTGGATTCAAATTACCACGTATGACTACTTGCTTTCAGTGTGAATGACTTCCTTTAGTAGTTCTTGCAACGTAGGTCTGCTCACAAAAATTATGTTTTTGTTTCAAGGAATATTTTATTTCATCTTCATTTTTGAAAGTTTTGTTGAACGTAAGATCTTGTTCGACAGGTCTCTTTCAGCACTTCAAATATCTAATACCATTACTTTCTGTCTTCCACTGATAATTTCTGAAGATTGGTCAGCTGTTACTCTTACTGGGGCTTCCTTATACATAATGAGTTGTGCTACTCTCCCTGCAGTCAGTATTTTCCGTCTTGTTTTTCAGTACTTTTCCTGCGCCCTTTCCAGGCGTGGTTCCCTTTGTGCACATCCTACTTGGAGTTCCTCGATCTCGGGTGTAAAATTGATGAATTTTTTCAAATTTGCAGAATTTTTGGTCATTATTTCTTTGGATAGTTTTTCTGCTCTTTTCTCTCCTCACTTTCCAGCACTACCATTAGGCATATGTTGGTGCAATTCTCTGTGGCCTTTCCATTTTTCTTCATTCTTTTTCCTCTCCGTGTTTCAGATTGCCTAGTCTTGATCAAGTTCTACACAGACATTATGAAGTCTATATTCAAGTTTGTTGATGACTTCTGCCACTTTGAGTCTGCTGTTAAGCCTACCTAGTGAATTTTTCATTCCAGTGATTGTTCATTTCAACATCAGAATTTCCAGTTAGTTCCTTATTTAAAATAATTTCTATCTTTTAATATTTCTCTGATGAGACAGAGACAGTTTGATACAAAACAGTTTGATGTAAACAATCAAAATTTTGAGTTTGATGTAAAAACTGTTTTTACAAAAAGGAAATTACCCTGTGCCATAGCAATCTTCCAAGTGTTTACTTTGCTCGAGAATATGACTGTAAAACCAGAGTATCTATAGCACTTAAATTGATCCAAGACACATACATTTAAACATTGCTGACAAATTGTCTTTTTCCCCTTATGACTGGATAAAGAACAGGGTAAACGAAAGTTGAATCTACATTTATCCATAATGTACTACAATGAGCATTCTTATTCAAAGTGAATTCATAAATTTTAAAGAAGACATCCTATACTTTTGATCAATCTTAGGGGAATCTAAAATAGCTTTTGATTTCTATATACTCAGAATCATAGAAAGGCCTTGCTAGATGAGGCCACTGGAACCAACTGGGTCAAACCTCCAGTTTTCACAAAGCCTTGAAAGGTTAAATATCATACTAAGGTCATACAACTTCTTAAATTATAATACAATCACTTTCAATAGGAGTTCAATCATATTTACAAGCTCATTAAATAAAATGAGACTTTTATAAGACAACTGTGACATTTGATAGAAATATAAACCACGTTTGTAGGCAAAAAAATGAAACATTTTATATAGCTGACTTCAGATTGTTAACTGCATCACGATATTGGCAATTGTCAAAAATGAGGGGAAACACTTACAAGGCTCCTTCACCACATACTTCATTTAAATTTCTCATTTCATATGTGAAACAGTGAAAATTAGATTGCAGGCTCTTTAATTTCAGGGTTCCTCTGATGCGTAAAATATACTTGCTGACATCTTATAAGGTAATTCTAATCTAATCTAATACTGTTTGTCTTCCTCTTCCCGACCTAAGAAGCACAGCACCTTTAGTCAAAGAGTCCAGTGATATTCAAAGGAAACATGTAATGTTACTGGAGAGACTAGAGAGACCTCAACTTTTTCCAAAATGCTGATGATCGAGGCGCTCCTACGTTATATTTGATGGCAAATATATTAATATTTAAGTATGTTTGCACTCCAAAGTCACTTCCTGCAGAGGTGGAAAGCTCTCAAACTTTCCGGAGTCTCCATTTGCATCATTTTAAAAGTAATGATGATGATAAATTTATAATAAGGGAACCATGGGTACATGGTTAAAAAAGGACAAAGAAATCGTCAAGCTGGGACAGTCACTATCACCCAAACTGGATGTCCCAGGGTAAGGGCTTCTTTGGCCTTCTGCTAATGTGCCCACCTGACTTTCTGGTTCTTCCTCTCTTACCTAACGCAAGTTCTACTCATCACTGTGGTACTTGTTGATCTCCAGTGATCTCTGCTCCACAGCCACATCTGTACACTTTGCTCCTCTCCTTCCTGAGCTTGTTAGCAGTCTCTTCTGCTCAGCTTAAGATGGAGCCCTCAAGGAATGTATGACCTGCACAGCTATTGGCCCTCGTATTTTCTGTGAACTGATTAAATCACATGGGTAACTTTGAACATTTCTACTTTAATTATTGGTTTGAGATGTGTTTGTAACTTCCAGAACGGTTGCTGCTTTAGGTCTAAACCTTTAAGAAGTATAATGGCCTTTGTGCTTCTTTTTCTTCTTAAAGATGGAAAAGTTTGAACTAACTTTATAATCAGTGTGCACATTGTATACAGAAAATGTATTTAGTCCAAGGTGCTCAGCACTGTGCTAGGTGCTATGGAAGACAGAAATCACATGACATTCCTGTCAGATCAAAAGACAGTATATGATAAAGAACTGAACTGAATATAACCAAGTATCAAAACACAAAATGCTTGGAGTGCAATGGGTGTTCAGAAAAAGAAAAAAAAACTATTGGTAAAGAGCTACCATGAATTTGGTCACAGACTCAGGGACCTAGAGAGGTGGGAGGGAGGCATTGGATCTAGAAGCTAAAGCACCAGATATGAATAAATGCACAGAAGAGGAGTAAGTTTGATTCAAGAAAGAGAAAGAATAGATACCTTTTACAAGGTTTAGTTTGTAAAAAGACCCTATAGAATGAGAACCCTGACTTTGATCTACTGAGAAAGGCAGCTGCTGAACTGGATAGAGAAAGATACAGAGTTTTCCTGTTAGAAAGAATGAGGCAGTGATCCAGTTCATATTCAGTTATTAAGAATAAATGACAAAAGGGAGTCAGAACAATATTTTGAACACAAAACACACCCAATAAAAATGTTGACTACTATGAAATAATTTCAGGGACCGGTCTGGTAGTAGTGGAAATGTTGGGAAAATAAATCTTAATGGAAAAAACAGCAAAAAGTTTTTCAAAAGTATCAGGAATAAAAAGATGACTCCAACATTTTTTGAGAGGGTAACTCTTATGAGATTAACATTTGGATTTTCCTACAAAAACACACATTTAATGACTTTGAAAACATGTCGTTTACTGTATACTTCTTTCAATTCATAGCCAATTCTTTTGGATGCCTGAATAACTGATCAACTTGTAACCCATTTCAACATTTCAAATCTATTCCAACATGAAAAAAATTTTCAAATTGTTTGAGTAATTAGCAAATGAATAGCTGTCCTCGATTTAGAATTAGAGACCTGGATTGACATGTCGGTTCACTCTAGGTAACCTCAGGCATGTTACTGAACCACTCTGAGACTGTTTCTTATAAAATGGGACTACAAATTGCTCTAAGGTTTGTTGTGAGGATTCAATAACATTAACACATTAAACACCTGGGCCTTACATTTGAAGATACTCCAAAAATGTCTTTTCCCTTCCTTTCTTCTTAGTAAGATAGGAGTTACAGTTTCTAGCCAGATCTAATTGTTCATGCTTTTTAGTATGTAACAGAATGTAAGGAAAGAGTTGGAGAGTGAAATGGGAATGTGAAAACACTTATCTTTCAAAATTAAGAAATAGCCATCTAAAAACGACTTCACCATGGGATTTGAGTTGGTGATCTTTCTGATGTATTACAAGCAGCACATGAGAGACCCTAGTTCCCACCATATCTACCCATGCAAAGTGGGCTCTAATAAGTGAATTCTTCATCTTCCCTTAGAGGGGACCATTTAGGATTCAACATACACTTCCTATTATCCAACTCATTCTGACATATTCAAGCATGCACATTTCTTGTTAGGAAAAGCAAGGCTGAGTTAGTATCAGGTCATTTTTTGATTATTAAAAACCATTAACTAAAATACAAACAAGAGTGGGAAAAAAAAGCAGAACTTTTTAAAAAAGCACTTTATGAAATCTGAAAGCAACATAATTATGAAGTTAAAATGTATTCATTGCTAGATTCAATTAACTAAAGAAATGCATTAGGAACTATTCACAGCATGTAGTTTTAATATTAGCCTAAATTAAATGTATAACAGAGGATAATACTCTTCAGGGAAGGAAATATAAATCTATCTTCTATTTTTTATTAACACCATTACTAGAATAAAATTCATTAATTTCAGTGCAAATTCAGGAATTTCACCACTGAGACAACTTTAATGTCCTACTATAAAATTTTAGATTAACAATTTTTAAAAAAAGACTGAATGCGAACTATCTTAAGACATTAATCAAATTTTTAATGTACCAATTTATTGCATATGTCAGTACAGAAAAATAGAAAGTATATTTTAAAAGAAATTTATTGTAAAAAACAAATGTAAATGTTTGCTTGCCATGGTTAGCACACAATGTACTATGACATTCAAATTTGAGTTATAAAATTTTATTACTACTTCAAATAAAATATGGCAAATAACAAAAATATGATTTACATTATGAAATGGGATTAACTTACTTTATACTGAACATACTTGAATATGTTAAAAACAACTTGACTTTTCCATATACACTGTACTGACAGAAATCGTTATAAATTATGTTAAACACACACTCACCTGTTACATATGTATATATGGCACTTTTTGTAAAAAAGTGTCTCATACATTGTCCTATTTTTAAACTACATTTTAAGATACAAAATATAAATGGAGGTATATTTGCGCCATTTGGCAAAAATGCGTAGACTAGTATTAAGATGACTGCATTTATCTTGCCATACAAATGAATATATTATTTCCAATTTGCTAAAATGATATATATATATATATATGGTATTAAGAATAAGCAGAAAAACATTTCATTTTCTACCCTATCAGTTTAAAAAATAAATGTCTGTGCTCTGTCATTTCCATCTTTACCTGAGTAATATGAAAATACATAAATTTAAGTGGATAATCCAAAAGGGCTATTTATGACTAATTTTTCCTCTCACAGTGTTTAAAAATATATATAATTATCAAACATAATATGAAAAAGGGAGAGGAGAAAGATCAGTGGAAGATTTCAGTATCTCAATCATGATGTAAATTAAAAAGTGACTTCTGTGACATTCTTTACAAGTTTATCTTACCTATTCCTATCCTCAAGAAGAAAAGGGTCTCCTTAACATAAACTACTCTTAAGCTGAGCTTGAAAGATAATTTACAAAACATTAAATATATGGCCCTCATTCTTTAATTTCCCCAAACCTATTCCCACCAAGCCAAATCTTACAAACATAAGAAATGAATATGTAAGCATCAGATTGTATGAATTCTCAACAGGTACTACAACATAATTACTCCAGTGACATATTACCAAAGCTGTAATCTATGTAACTTTCGAGTTTCTACAGGTAATCATAAATTTAACCAGCCCTGTAACAAAATTCAGAACACCATTTTTATGAAAATATCAATTTTACAGTCAAAAATATAACTGCAAAAACATAGGGTAGTTGCAATGCCAAGTGTCCCAGTCACTTATTAGAAATGATTTGCATTCAAATGTTTTGCACTATTTCTGTTTCATCAATCTCATCAATTTATTTTCTATATCTAAATGTAAGAACTGTGTCAAACCTTCCTTTCTAGTTGTTTCTATCTTGCTAGTATTCTATTACCTGTCACAAATTATTTCTTCTCTTATTTTGCAGTATGCTTTTTAGGGTCCTTTTATACTTCTTTTTCACCAGTTTTTCCCCCCATAATGGATGTGGGATTTTATTCTAAATGAGCTGTATCTTGCCATAAGATCACTCTAGGATCCCCAAATTTACAGTAACTTAAAGCTCATTTGTAAACTCCTATAGCTGCTCTTGTATAAATGAGTCAGAAATTAATATACAAGATGGATACATATACTTCCATTCCCGCTAAGCAATGGGTACAAGGCGAAGGAGTGACCTTGAAGAAGTCTCATTTTACTAAGACCAATTGCTTTGGCCCCAAAACTGGAAATTATTTTCAAAAATGATGCCATGGGCTTCATGGACCCCATACTAAGTTTGTTTTCCACTTCTTACCGATCTAAGGAAACAGACTGGGATACAGATGCTAGTGAAGACAGATGTGGTACCACCCTAGGCACTGCCTCTGCCCTTAGCTGCAGAAAGAAGAAAGAGAAAGAGAGAGAGAGAGAGAGAGAGAGAGAGAGAGAGAGAGAGAGAGAGAGAGAGAGAGAGAGAGAGAGAGAAGGGGGGAGAGAGAGAGGGAGAGAGAAAGGCTCCTTAACCCTAAGAAGAGAATTAAGGGAGAGGATAGCAAACAAGTACTCTACAATTTTTGAAGTCCTGGCTTAAAATTTAAAAAGATAGTTTATAAACCTGGAATATCAAAAATAAAAAGCAGCATAAAAGCAAAGTACTGATGAAAATATAGCTTTTAGACCTCATCAGCATATTTAGAACTAAGGTTGATACATTTCTCCATAGTGTAATAGACTGATCACATAGAAACACAAGGTATTTTTTGTAAACTTTAAATAATGATACAAATATAAGGTATGCCATGTAAGCTCGTGTCTAACTATACATTTTGTTGTATTTTCTTTTTAATACATTAATATTTAGAATAGTCATTCTACATAGCAAGAACTGACAAGAAAAGTAGGCTTTAATTGTGAATTTATACATACAAAATATGCCTTCCATGATATGCATTACCAACTTGTTTTAAAAAGCAAGACTGTTTACATTTATAGAAAAAATTATTTTTAGAAATCATACTTGCTATAATTTATTTTTTCTAAATACTGGCATAAAGTGAGTAAGAATGCCATTTGGCAAAAGTATTTCTAGCCCTATCTCCATGGAAAAAATTTTAAATTGAGGTCAAGAGTATTGACCCATTATTTCTCTGTTCTAGTTGCTTGCAGAAAGCCATTAAATATAGCTAAAATATTCAAAATACTATATGTTAAAGCTGACACATTACACAGAACTCAATTGCATCTATTTTTTGAGGACTGCTTTAAACAACTTGGCACAATTATGACTCATAGCGTATACTTTTATTAAGGTAAATCCTGCAAGTTTCAAGGGGCTTTTTTTTTCTAAGTAAGATTTTGTTACTTTTCTACGCATCTAAATCCTACTTCCCACCTATGGCCACTTAATTGCTAAATGTGGTAACAGGTTCTATGTCAAAAAGCTCCAGAATTCCTTCACTCTCACATTCCGACATGTAAAAACTTTTATAACAAATAAATAAGACTTCCTAAAGCTGTCTTTTGATGTAGGAGTTCTATTTCACAGCAACTGGAACACTGTTGGGTTTTGTAACTTTTATTTTCAAGAAGTCCAAATGATGTCTTGCCTTTAGTGGGTTAGATATAGCTAGGTATTGGGACTTAAAATCAAATGTGCGGATTTTTGAAAAGTAGTATGTACAATTCTGTAATGATAAAAGACTTCCTAATTTAATTCTTAAGCAGTGTTCATCTTCACTGTGACTGCTATTAGTGGTTCAGCTGTAAACTTACAAAATCAACAGAATCTAAAATTCTCTTTGCCACCAAAGTTACAAATGTTAAAAAGTTCAAATATGCACATCAAAGCTGCAGTGAAATTCTAAATTTCTATTTCTACATGCCATGATCCAGACTGTGCCTAACAAAAACACGGTACATTTATATAGGAAAACAGGGTCCCATTTATTTGTAAGAAAAAGCTGGATCTCAGCATTCACCAGAGCAAAATTCAATGGCAACCTGCACATAGGTCTCAATTTCACTTCTTGCCAAAAACAAAATAGAATTTACATAAAAATAGATATAACCCAGATAACCATATACATCAGTATATGACCAGTGCTATTTACATTTAAAATGTTGCATTGCATAATTCAAGGAATAAAATACCATCATGCATTTCATTTAACTTTTAAGGTGAAAAATGCAGTTACAGAACTAAGTTTGCTTATCATGATTGTCCCAGTATTTACTTAAGTAGTAATACCCAAAGGTTTCTTGTTTACATATCTCCTTCCACATCTAGCTATTGATCTGTGTGAGATTACACCACTTCAGCAACAAGAAACTTTTGAACAATATCTTATATCGACATATTAAACTAAAGATATGAATACATAACCACATTGAAAGTTTTGATGAAAATGTATGAAATAATCCCAAGAATTATAGTTTTTCAATGTAAAAAACTATTTGGATCATCACAAAGGAGCACTGAAGTCCTTTCAAAGTTTAATGTCACTCTTCAGACAGGATACAGACATAACACTTCTAAAAGGAACATTCTTAACCATTCTGCACAAATTAAAACACAATGCAATAATCAAAATGGAAAACATCATATAATTGTTACATTAGATGAAGTTTTTGCCATTTCTTCAGGAGAATGGCTCTTTACAACTTCTTTGATGAACTGTTCAAGTGCAGTGAAATAGCCTTGGCACTGCCATGTATCATTGTGAGTCCCATCTGGAAAAATGGCTAATCTCTTAGTCCGAGATGGGGAGAGTTCATAAAGTTGTTTCATCATGACTGGTGGAATTAATTGATCTGAGAGTCCAGAGATGAAAAGAGAAGGCATTCTACACTGAGAGATTTTTCTGTAGGACAAAAATTTATTTTTGTAGCACCATAAAGGAAGGTAACGCATTGGAAAGAATGAAAATAAAGTGCTGGCCATATGTGGTATGCTTAAAAATGTGTTCTCCACCATAATGGCTGAAATCCTGTGTGAATTTTCAGAAGCCAAATGAATCGCTACTGCTCCACCCAAGGAACGGCCAAAAAGAAAAATTTTTGTTTTATCAAGGTCAGGTCTAGTCATCACATAGTCTAACACAGCTTCAGAATCTAAGTAGAGTCCTTCTTCACTTGCTTCTCCTTCACTTTTTCCATATCCTCGATAATCAACCAGCAAAAGGTTAACTTTGAGGTTAACCAACATAAGCAGTGCATTTGGCAACCTGTGACCTATGTTGCCTGCATTCCCATGAAAATAAATTATAGTTGGGGAATAGGGTGAATTGTCTCCAGTGTATCGTATCAAAATAAGATTTAGACGTATTCCATCTTTGGTTCTGATGAAAATGTTTTCATGTGGAATGCCCGTGGGCATGGGAACATAAAGACGTGAAGAGGATGGCTGTTCTGGAAAATAAAGCAATACATCCTGAAATTTATATAGAATACCTGCTATTGATATGAATATTAACAAAAGTAAGATAATGCCTCCATACAGATGAAAAGTCACGATTAAAGGTAAAAGAGAAATACGGCAGAGAGCCCAAGACCATGAAGCCAAAGCTATTAGCCATCTTTCAATAAAGTTCCACAGCATCCAGGACTTTTCCATTGTAGTTTTCTGTATGTATCCTAGAGAGAGAGAGAGAGTATCAGTAATTCAACATGTATCTATTATTTGCAAAAAAATTCATAATATAATAAACTATGGTACTAGGCCACACGTCATTGTTCAATATGGTAATAGGTATAACCCATCCACAAAAGTAGTGGCTATAATTTCCCTTGTGCTTTCTGTCCTCAACAGTTCCCTTTCTACCATAACCCTCCACTACCATATTTATGAAACACTAACATTCATCAAATCATATGCATTTTTAAAAAGTGCTGATTTACTGTCAGCTATCTTCATTTATAAGTTTCTCACTGATTCGACCAAAAAAAGTTGATGCTTTACTGTCAATTTTTTTTTTTCTTTAATGAGAAAATAGAAGCTCAGGAGCATAAGTAGACTGGCCATCATCTGGCTCCTGAGGTAGAAGAACGGGAGGCAAACAAGCACGATTCCAGAGCTCATGGTACATCTACTGTTAAGTTATGTATGTCCAGGGCAAACTGTACTGAAGAGGCAGTTCAGAAATTCTAACTTAGCAAGACCAATCTAATACACTTTGTCAATCTTTTTCATGTACCGTAGCAAAAACTAAAGAAACTAGGGTAAGGAGCTGGACAAAATAAAACAAAACAAAATGAACTAGGGTAAGAAAGAATAAAAGTATCTCCATCTCCACCTGGAAGTTTTAATACTAAACTTAAATAATTTACTCAAGTTAGCCACTAAATTCTAATACTGTATTATCTTTAAGAAAATGATTAATGATTTGTCCTTCATATCTAATTAAAAATAAATATCAGATTACTGGTGTCATGAGATAGAAAGTTTCACATCATGGGGTCAACAGATTGCTAAAGTGTATTGATAAGGCAATAAATACTTGAGGGTGAAGTGTGAAACAAATGCATAGAAATTCTCCAAGAACCAGCAAAGTAACAAAGGAACAGAAAACCAAACACTGTATGTTCTCACTCATAGGCAGGTGTTGAACAATGAGAACACATGGGCACAGGGAGAGGAATATCACACATGATATTCCTTGAGGGGTGGGGAGCTAGGGGAGGGAAAGTGTGGGGTGGGGAGGGATAACATTGGGAGAAATGCCTGATGTAGGTGACGGGGGATGGAGGCAGCAAACCACTGTGGCATGTGTATAACTATGCAACAATCCTGCAAGATCTGCACATGTACCCCAGAAGTTGAAGTACAATAAAAACAAAAGAATAAAAAAAATTTTTTTAAAGAAATTCTCCAAGAACCAGAGATAAATGAAGTAAAATGACTCGCTGGAGAACAATTTTTTAAAATATGCAACTGATATAAAGAAAGTAAAGAAAAACTACTAAGATAAGTTTTTGTTTTCAAAAGGTTTATACATGTTATCTTAAAAATGCAAAAGAACTGAGATATGTTACAAATTGTCTTATGTACTATTCATCTACTTATGCTTACTTACTGAATTTTTTAAAAAAATTTCCTTTTTTCCCACTAACCAAACTGCTATAAAGAAGTTATAGATTGATTATAAAAACAAGGTGGACGATTTAACATATTTGATTTTTTATTATTATTTCACTAAACACAGACTTTTACATTTGAATTCTTATTCAAATGAACCTTTTTAAACATAAACCGACATTTTTCCCTGATTTCCCAGAAATCAACACTGCCACCCAGTGGTAGCAAATTTTATTATTGTATCACATCCTCCCTGAATAACTGTATTTATCACCTATTTCCAGTCTCAGTTGCCTTTTCAGTAGAATAAGAGTTTTTAAAATGCTTACTATAAGGCTGGTCAATAGTATGAAGATTAATAATAATAAGAGCATTCATAAATGTTATAGACATGTTAACTTTATTTGGTTTTGTGACTAGTATTTCTGGCTCTACTTTCTTAACTGTGTTCTGCCCAAATTAGTTCTTATTTAAAAAATTATCACAAAGCCAGATAAAATAGCTCCAAATACATGAATAAAGCATATTTTAAAATTTGAATCTTATATTTACATTTGTATAAATTTACACAGTTAAACTTTCAAGTAATAAACTCTGAAAAGTTATTTTTGTTTTATAGCCTCCAATATCTAATTTTAGAAAACGATACTGAATTTAAATCTATAAAGCTAGGAAGTATATTTCTCTTTTTCACTATTGCATATCTAATGTCTAGTACAGCACTTTTTATATACTTATGACTAAAACATTTTAAATAATCTAATTACATATACAAATTAAATTTATTTAAAAAAATAAATATTCTGAGAAGTGGGCATATACGCTTAAAACGACTTCAGAAAAATGGGCATATTTGTTTGGGTCTATCACTGGCTAGGAATAACAAAAGATAAACTTACAGTTTTCCACAAAACATTCCTGAAAAGTCAAATTAACTGTTTTGTGATAAACAATCATAATCTTACAGTGAGTTGTTACACTATGAAGGTCGAAATAAAAGTCAATTCATCTTGAGTAATATCAAATGGAAGTCATTTTAAAGAATAAGTTAATAAAAAATTGCTCTGGGGTGGTGAGGTGCGTGGACATGGGTTTTTAAAATATATTCTTATATTGGTGGTCTAGAATAAGAACTCCACTCATGGATTGCCTTATTTTTATCTAACCCTACTTACCAATAATCTCTGTTCCCTGGTCTGTATAATATGTACTTCCACTCAAAGGTGTTCTTAAAGAAACCAGGACGAATGAACAATATCAGGAAGGATTTTTAATTTACTCAATTTGCTGAAAGTATCAGTGAAGCACAATTACCATGCACCATCTGGTGAGATATAAAAGCAACTTCATACCCAGATGTTATGAGAATCAATAAAAACAAGCACTGCTGCTAATAAAGTCAATTGCACAGATCCTACAGCCAGCATTATGTTTTCTATTTATTTTGTCAGTTAGTGTAAATAAAGGGTTAACAAAGCCTTTCTCCCTCTTCAGATAAAAAATGACCTCTCCTTAACCTTCCTGCACTGTTTCCCTGGAAACATGATAAAGGTGGGATATCAGCTGTGTTTCTAAGCAACACTGTAGTAAAAATGGCTCCTACCGATGAGCAACATCTGGATTGAGGGGAGAGTGAGCAGGGCTGAACATGCCCAGTAAGAAGTATAAACAGAGGCTTTTCAAAACGAATATGACTTGTAATTGGCTTGTCATTTGCTTAGTCCTGGATGCTATACTTATATGCTGTTAGAAGAGGACACTGTTTCCTGCAGAGCATTAAGGAGATAAGCCAGGGTGGCATTCACTCCCATCCTTGTATCATTTTCCACTAAACCTGAGCTATCATCTAGGAACAACATACCTAACACTGACATTTTGGATTTTCCTTCCCATAATTTTCAAAAATCCAGAGAGGCTGATGCACAGCAGGGTCCACTATGGTCTACTGGGTCTTGTGAGTATGAATGCCCAGTTGACCCCAAGACCACTGCTACTAGTCATGAAGAATGAGGGAGGCAGGCATCAAGTATGTCCTATGTGGTAAAACATAAAACGTGTCTTCAGAAGAGATGTATTGTTTGTCAGGTTATTCTGCATGTGAAATCCACTTGCTGATAACATCTCAGAGTGATAAAAATCAGGAAAAAGGATGCATTTAATACACTCAAAGCTTATACCAATTAGAAGGGTTGCTGAGTGGGAGAGCAAGTAAGACCTGTTCTATGGGGAATATAGAAATGTAGATAATCAATTACTTCTCATCTTCCATTCTTCTTTTACATCATTATTGCATGTATTTTTAACCTTGTGCCTACATCTTAAAATGAATACCTGACAGTCCCACTTCTCAACTGTTTGCCATGTTAACAGATCTGCTATTACATGTCAAACATCTCTAAAACCTACCTATGAATTTAACCTCCCCCAGTAACTCCTTAACCATTTACTATCTGAGAATTTGATGACTGAATTCTCATAATAATCTCATAAAATGTAAACTTCACTTTAAAATATATCTAGTGGATTTTTCTCAATCCACACTGCAATACCAGACCCCCAAAGTGTCATCTGCGGTTGACTTGTCCTCTATACTCAAATTGCTGTTTCTCTCTGCTCTATACCCTGAAAAGCAGGCATTTCTCCAAGGTCTTATCCACTGTCTTTTAAGTTATTACGTTCTTTTCCTCAGTGATTTCATTCCTTCTAATGTCTCCAATTATCACACCTGTGTATGAATTATTCCCAATCTACAAGTCTACTCTTTATCTACAATCTCAATTTACCTGTTCCTCATGCGCCTGATGCTTCACCGATATTTCTAATTTACCTAAAATAAACGCATCCTGCTCCCTTCCCAACATTTTTCAGACTTTATGCTAATTATGCACAAAAAAGCTGGATGTGTAAACAAATACATTTTTTAAAAACACAGGATATGTAGACTAAGATTTAAATATTACAGTTTATTATAACCTGTACTGGTCTTGTATTTGAATGAAAAAAAAATCAACCTTAGAAATAACTTTTATGCTTTTTAAATGAAATGGTTCGAGGTGTCATATTGATACTAGTGAGCATGTCTCCAAAAATAATCTACTGAAACGATGACTCATCTTTATTGTAATGTATTGTATAGATAAATTATATGATTGTTTTCCTTTTAAAAGAATAGTTTTGAAGTATTAGTGACATCCTGCTAAACTACATAAGTAGTTTGATTATCTGATGAAATTTAAGATATGGTACTCATCTTGAGGACTTATGGTCCTAATTGGCTTGCTGTAGTCCCCTCTAGTGCTCTTTACTTCCTGTCTCTATATTTAAGTCCATTACGGGTATACAACAAACAATTTGAGACTAAAAATAAGAGTAATCTAGAACTGCAAAGCTCTCAGACCACCTTGCCAGCCAGCAGTGTTCGCTGAATGGCAAGTCAGGTAATGGAATGAGAGATGGCCATACTTATCTGGTCTCTACTAATCCTCTCCTGTGCTCTCATATAGGTACCTGGAAGATCACAACTAGTTCAATTTTTAAGAAAAAATATTTAAATTAAACA